GGGGGCAACACTGAGGGTTGCGATCCGTTGCCGGACACGGAAAAAAGACAAAAGACAAAAATAAAAAAAATAAAAAAATAAAAATGAACCACCCCCTAAACCTCATGCAAAACAAAAACTAATTCAAAATGGATCCTTTAAATATAAAAAGTAAAACTATGAAAATGCTAGGAAAAAAATCTTTAGAATCTAGGACTAAGCAATAAGTTCTTAGACTTGACACCAAAAGCACAATCTATAAAAGGAAAAAGTTATAAACTGGACAGAGAGAAAATATTGTAAACCACATATCCAACAAAGCCTTTATATCTAGATTACATAAAAGAACACTTTAACTCAACATTAAAAAAACCATTCAATTAGGGAATAAGCAAAAGGCACATACAGACATCTCGCAGAAGAAGATATAGCAATGGTAAATAAATACATGAAAAGATGTTCAACATTATAATCATTACACAAAGATAAATTGAAACCACAATAAGCAATTACTACACACCAATAAAATAACCAAAACTCTGTCATAGGCAGGTACACGTGGACAGCCATGACAGAGGGGCCTTGGGCAACCAACGCACAGAGCAGACCACTGCAGGGAAACCTGCTGAAGGATTCCCAGGAAGTGGTTAGGCACCATGGGAAGGAGTTCTGGGAGGTCTCTGGCTGCTACACTTGATGTGGCAGGATCTGCCTCCTGAGACAGATATCAGCCAAGCCATTCAATTAGGGAATAAGCAAAAGGCACATACAGACATCTCACTGAAGAAGATATAGCGATGGTAAATAAATACATGAAAAGATGTTCAACATTATAATCATTACACAAAGATAAATTGAAACATTCAATTAGGGAATAAGCAAAAGGCACATACAGACATCTCGCTGAAGAAGATATAGCAATGGTAAATAAATACATGAAAAGATGTTCAACATTATAATCATTACACAAAGATAAATTGAAAGCACAATAAGCAATTACTACACACCAATAAAATAACCAAAACTCTGTCATAGGCAGGTACACGTGGACAGAGGGGCCTTGGCCAACCAACGCACAGAGCAGACCACTGCAGGGAAACCTGCTGAAGGATTCCCAGGAAGTGGTTAGGTCTCTGGCTGCTACACTTGATGTGGCAGGATCTGCCTCCTGAGACAGATATCAGCCAAGGCCCACCCTGAGACCCTGCAACACACTCTTCTGTGTGTAGCTGGTTTCTGCTTTTTGCTTCTGCAAGGGTAGAAGCCATGTTGGACTGGCCTCTTTACAGGACTTTAAAAATCTCAGGATGGCTGTTGAGAGAAAGGGAAAGTTTTTTTCCTGAATGACTATTAATAACAACCATCAATTGACAAAGATTAATAAATCTTTACAAATTATGTAATTTTCAAAGGTTGTACAATTATTCAAAAATGGTGAACATATCCTAGACTAACAGAAAGGCTTTTAAAAAGTTACCTGACATTGGACTATATTTTTTTAATTAACAGTGACTAACTGAATAAAGCACATTGAATACATTATATCCATAAATTCAAATGATGCCCAAAAATGGAAGAAAAAAGTGAAATAAACTCAGTGGACACCACTGGAAGTTGCTAAGGCAACAACTTATTACCATGAAAATTAATAATTAAAGAAAAATAATTTATCTTGTGTTTCTGGCGTGAACCATTTCACATTAACAGAACTGGGTGAGAAGAAGTTCTTCAATACAGAATAACTCATTTATAAATGCAGATGGAATGGTAGAATTAGAGTTTATTGTAAATGCTAATGAAATAACTGAGTCAGGCAGTGGCTCCTGGTGGACACTAAAATCATCAGGAGTAAAGACGACAGGGAGCTTGACAACCAACAGGCTGAGCCATCGCCACATACACTCACTGAACATTCCTGCATCCCTGAAAACGGGATGTCCAGATACACGCTCCTCCTCCTTGATGCAATTCAAACTCCCTCCACACCTGTGAGGTACGTGGGCCCCAAAATTGAACCTGAAAGCTTCAGACCTAAATTGTAGTCTGTAAGAAATAGACGGAATAGAGTAATAAGTTAACCCCATGAGGAGCCCATCAATCCAATCCAAGGTGCATGATATCCCACAGAACAACAGAACAGGATTTTCAGCCAGATCATGGTGAAATAAAGACTTAACCTGGCCTAAGGACTCCCTCGTTAGAAGGGCCTGCTCTCAGGTTGGTCCCTGGCTGCCTTCTGGGTATTGAGCTTTTGGAATGTTCCCTATGTTACCAACTGATGAGGTTGCTTTGTGGGCCTGGGGAAGTGGCATTCTGCTGTACCTGCACACCTGGGCTGTACAAAAGTGTGATTTACGGGGACACCTGCATTCCTTCTGGGTGGGCTGAGGGTGCCTATCAGACCAGCCCCAACAGAAACTCTGGGTCTCAAGCAGGCCGCCCTGGACAGATACACTGCACACAGGTTGCTGTCTTTTGCTGCTGGAGGGAAGGGTTTGTTCTGTATGGCCCCTCCCAGGAGAGGAGACTTTTCAGAAGCTGCTCCTGGATTCCTCCAGGCTCAGCAGATTCCACTGCTGGTCACGGTAATAAACCCCAGCCCAGAGTACAGCTGCCTCTGAGTCTGCGAGTCATTCTAGCAAACCACAGAGTGCCTGGGTGGTCGTGGCAACCCCAAAACAACGATAATATCGATTAAACAGAAAAGAAAGAATGGAGGAAATAATGCTGTTCTAGCATAAAAGAGACATAAGAGATATAACAGCTAAACATGTGAGTGGACCTTGTTAAACAATCAGGAGTTTATTGGAGTCAACATTCCTCACCAGGTGGACCACACAACCACAAGCAAAGTTGTGGAACTTTCCCGGTTGTTCCTCCTGCCTGCCCTCTCCTCAACAACTCCATGCCTATCCCAGGCTCACTGAGAAGCACTTCTCTGGGTCACATCACCCACTCACCTTCCAGACCCCACTCGCTGAGCCAACGTTTCTGTCAGCGTGCTGCTATGAAGTTTGGTTTCTCAATTAAATCGACAACGGACCTGCCCAGCCCAGGAAGTGTTTGCACTTTGCCTCGTGCTATTGAAGGTATAGCCCTGCTTACAATGTCAAACATCAGATTGACAGGACTTAAGATCACTTGTAGAAATGCCCATTAGCCAAGATGATAAATGTCACAGTCAATGATCCTTCCCCACACGTAGCCTGAGGGCGTCCACATCCCCTCCAAGTGCACAATCCCACAAAGCAGAAAGGGGGTGTCTCAACATGCCCATCCTACAGATGAAGACCCTGAGTCTCAGAGGGTTCAAGCTTGTCTCCTCAAGGTCACCCCTCAAGGTCACACTTGGAGCGAGGAGCAGAGAGGGGGTAGAAAATCAGGTGCATTTCCTCAGGTACACTTTTGTTTTCCTCCCAAAACTCATCTTGAGCATTTCAGTTGCCAAAATTCAGCAAATATTCCAGTACAGTTCCATTTTCTACCTAGAACCAGGAAAAGGCTAATTTTCAGGAATGACACTATCCCAATTTGACCAAGTGGTCAGCACTGAGCCCCTCCACAGCGTCTCACAAGTTACAACATCCTGACTGTGGGCGCAGACAGCACAAGGGGAGCAAGCATGAAAGTTACCTCAAATATGATCAGCACGTAGACCCCCGCCAGGATGGCCGCAGCGATGGCCACTTGTGCCTCTGCCCCTGCGGGAAGGTACCGATGAGCCAGCAGAAGAGGAACCACCCGGGTCTGCTGCGGGGAGGCACGAATGCTGATGGACACCATCTCTCTGCAGAAAGAAGCGAAGAGCTCCAGCTGACAGGGAAAACAAACCCTAGGACAACAACTAGTGTCACCCCTCAACGTCTTTTCTGGTACAAGTCAGCCATGGCCATGACTAGCGCCCAAATGGATCTCGGTGTGACTCAGCCCAACACCGAAACATAGAGCACAGCCTCCCTGTGGTCACACCTGGCCTGTCGATCAAGGTAGGCCCCGCTGCCCTGTATGCAGCAACCGCCCCCCACAGACACCACACAACAGTGAACCAGGTGCAGGGGCCTGCACCATTGATTTTAACCATTAATTTCCCCTCTTCCTCCGCACCACATGCCTGACTGCTTTACCAGCTAATACAAAGCCAACTGTTCAAACCTCAGTCCTTGACAGGGGGAAAAAGCACCTCATATAAGGAGCCCGTGAATAATCAAGAGTTTGTCAGTAACTTCATGGACTGAGCTGTGTCCCTTCCAAAATTCATATGTTGAAGTCCTAACCCCCAGTACGTCAGAATATGACTGAATTTAGAGATAGGGTCTTTAAAGCGGTAATAACAGTTAAATGAGGTCATTAGGGTGATTCCTAATCCAGTAGTACTAATGTCCTTATGAGAAGAGATGAGGACACAGACACACAGAGGGACGACCACATAAGGACAGAGGGAGAAGACGGCATCTGCAGGCCAGGAAGAGAGGCTTCAGGAGAAACTAGCCCTGTCGACATCTCGATCTCAGACTTCAAGCCTCCAGAACTGAGAGAAAATAAATATCTGATGTTTACGCCACCCGGTCTGTGGCAGCCTGAGCTGATGAACACAGTACCCATGCGTACTGATTGAATACGGGGGAAAGAGAAAGAAGGCTAAAATTTCCTAGCATTCCTCCTTATACACCTTTCTGAAATTAATGAAATTAGAACATCAACTGAAAAAACACAGTTTGCCTCAATCCTGCCATCAGTGCTGTTACTTCCTGACACATGGGGTCACGGGGCCTTCCAAAAGCCTTGCCGTTCATTGTCTACACAGCACAAGCACCTTGTCCAAGCCACATAACTCATCCAGCACTATATGTGCCAAAACTTGGTGTCCTATAGGTCAAACTTCTTTAGTTGAGCATGTCCCAGGAACTGCCCCAAAGCTTCATTCACCTGCAAACCCACCTGCTCAGTATCTCGAAGGTCCTGCTCACCACCAAACGCTCACTTCTGCCTGGATTTAAAAACACTGTCCAGTTGTGAGTGACCTGTAAAAGCCAAAGCATAAAATCAGAGTAAAGCTTTTTACCTGAAGCGTTCTCTGGGACCTGGCATTATTCAGTTTAGGTACAGTCATGTGCCGTGTAACAACATTTTGGTCAACAAGGGACCACACGTAAGGCAGCAGTCCCGTAAGATTATACCGGCTATACCACAGAGCCCAGGTGTGTGGTAGCTGTCCCATCTCGGTTAGTGTGGACACACTCCACGATTTTCCCGCAATGACAAAATCGCCTAATGGTGCATTTACCAGAACTTGCACCCATTGTCAAGCAAGGCATGACTGTATTCGTCTGGAATAAGAAAAAGAGAAGACCAGCAAAGCATTTCATACAGCTCCCACATCCCACAACCGATAACACAAGGAGCTAGTCCAGGTTGTGCGGAGCTGGAAGTTTCCACAATTCAGAGAGTTGTTTAAGAAAAAGAATACAGAAGTGCAATACAGAATGTGTGCATGAAGGTACAAAAGGCAGAGAAGTAAATACTGTCTTATAATGGAGAGGAAGTCACCACAAGTTACTGGAGACTTGGGGAGTCTTCCGAGGTGACTAACGAGAATGCCTTTCTGAGAACCTGCTTGCCACCTGCAGGCAGGCAACAGCCACCTCAGAAAACCCGGCACCCCCACGCCCACCGCAGGAGCCCCTGTGAGGGAGGCCCCAGATGAAACTTTCTTGTCCCGAGTGGAGAAATGGAGAAGGACCAATGGAGGGGGCTGGACCTGAGGGGGATGTCGAGGGAGAGGGAACTTTCCATGGGAGGACACCAATCTCACCCAACAGTCACAGAGGAGACTGAAAATAGGGACTGTGAAACTGTCCACAGCAGAGAAGTACATGCATGAGAGAACAGAATATCTCTGAGAACACTTCACTGTTTGGAAAGAGTAAATCCAAATAAAAAAATCTTTATCTCTTGTGTCTTTTGTGTTTCTGGAGCAGGATTTATAGGTGGGCACTCACAGTGCTCACTTCATTTGGATTATAAATATGCACCTGCTGAGAAGGCTGCTAGACAGCAGTTGCATGAGGCCTGCCCTGCCCATGCTCAGGGACACAGGCAGACAGAGGCATGCCCCTCGTCACTACCAAGGAGCCCTTGCCAACAGGCTGTGCGCTTCACAGGGGCAGCCAGATTTACATCCTAAGACCATGGGCAGAGCAATCAGCTTAGAACAGTGGTGCTGCACTGGCCTTTGCCCAGGTCACTGCATTCTCATTCATCATTGAGCCTTTGCTCCAAGACTATACCCTGCAGGGCAGAAAAACCTGAGAGAGGCATTAACTTATCTTAGATGGCACAGCCTCGTGCACAGCAGGGTTTTCTATTGCTGGTTATAACAGGAGAAAGCCATGAACTAGGGATATACTTCTATGCAGATGTCACCATGATAATCCGGTAGAGTCACCAAGGCTAGGGTTTGGGGGCCGGGCCAGCTGCATGCAGAGAGGCTGTGCCTGGGCGTCTAGGCTCTGGGCCATCACAGCAACTGCTGCCGCTGGCTCTGCAGGCTGCGTGTGGGCTGCCCTCGTGGCGCAAGGCTCAGAGACAAGGCTGAGCACAGGGGCCTGCCAATACAGATGCGGAGGCTCAGGCACTATCTGCACAGTCTTTGCAAGTGTCCGGGGACACAGGGTCTCTGTCTTCTGCACTGCAAGGGAAGGCCTGGATTTAACTGCACTTTACCAAAAACAAGAGAACTCCTTTCAGATATATAACACTTCCCTGAATGGCCCAGTAAAACGGTTCTGAATAAAGCACTCGCAAGCCCAATTTTACTGCAATGGCAAGAATTTTATAAATTATTTAAAGAAAAGGGAAAAAGAGAATTTCAAAGACACAGCAAAAGAGGCAACGGCCTCACTAATAGTGCGTCACTGCCTCATGGCTCCCAACAAATCCATTCAAGAGGAGACAATTCACAATGAGATAAAATGAGATTTCACAGTCCTTTCAAATAACTTATCAGTGTAACCTGCTGTGGCCGCCGCCGCCTGGAGCCTGAGGCATCTGCCTGGGTCACCTCCACCACAACATGCTCTTCTCTTCCAGGACGACTCGGCCCACTGGCTGCCAGGGCCCCCGCCAGGTCCACCTGGAGCAGCGTGGAGTCCACGTGGCTGCTGAGGTTCACAGCTGGGGTTGCGTCAAGGTGAACACAAAGCAAACAGGGAGAGCCTAACATCCCCAGCCACCCACCAGACACACACCCTCCTTGGACAATGCACAGAGGAATGTGCACCCCAGATATGCTACTTACCCTGATCTGGTCATTACACATTGTATACTTGTGTCAAAATATCTCTCTGCACCCTGTTAACATGTACAATTGTTATGTGTCGATTAAAATAATAAAATTTTAAAAAATAATTTAAAATGCATATTTCCTCCAACTTCCTTGTACCCAGGCCGCTTCTCACATCTTCAGCCCTCCATCCTGCACAGGCAGCTGGTTTTGCCTGGTGTAAGTGTGCTTGGCGTTCTCTGGTCTAAGGTCTCGGTGGTGTCTCCTACTGACTCATCTCTGCCTCCGCTTTTTGCAGCCATCATAAAACTCTGACCCAAGGTCCTGGCCCCGCAGTGAGCAGCAGGCAGGATGCTGCCTGAGAGAACAAACAACCCACGTCCACACCCACGTAAGGTGAGGAATCACAGAAAGACCTGAAAATAAGAGGCCTGAAACTGGTTGAACCAGTGACGTCCACTGCAGTGAGAAAACAGAAACTCCTCCAAAGTGTGCTGCAGGGCTCTTGGCTGGGAGAGGCTCCTCCCACCTCCCCAGTCCTCTCCTAGCTCTTTCAGAACCTCCAGCTCTGCTGCAGACAGGGGCAGGGTGCACCTAACAATGATGTGGCTTCCATACAGCGGCCAGCCCAGTCATTTTGATCCAGAAGAGAAAACTGCTGTAGGTGGAAAAATAAATTTCGCAATTTTTTATTCTTTACACCAGGTCTCAAAAGTCTTTCAGCAGCAGCTCACTGGTTTTAGAATGATTCCATAACCAATTCCTTTATTCTTTCTTAAATCCCTAAAAGAAGCATGTGGATTTTGAAGCAGCTTAGGGCGAAGCAGAACTTCACTGTAGCCAGAGCATCTGGAATTTGCACTCAGTGCTGGGGAGTGAATAGTTAGTCCTGTTTCATTGTTTCATTTTTCCTTCTGCAAAACATACTGGTTAAAAAAAAAAAATGCTGGTAAAGAGAATGTTTTATCAGCCCTGCTGACTGTATAAAAGCCCAGAATAAGCAAGCTGCCCCCGGGCACTCAGCTGAATAGACCCCCACACACCTATGCTGCTACTTGGGTTCCAAAAAGGACAAAGGAAGACGGAGTCACACAGCAGGCAAAATGTACTAAGAGGCCCAAAGAGACACTGCTGTTTCTACCACACCTGAAATTATTCCTGTCCCTGTCTTTCCCCAGAGCAGATGGGATAAGGGTAGGGATTAGAGACCTTGCCAGACCCAGGAGGAGGCACAGCGCCCCCTGGAGGCTACCATCAGAAGAGCAGCTGGCTTCTCCCTCTAGTATTTAACAAGTGTTCATGGAGAAACTACTGCATACCAAGAATAAAACAAGGCCTTCCTTCGTCCTTGGGGGTCTCATACCCTAGAGCATGAGTGCACACAAAATCTAAGGGGCACGGGACCACACTCCTTCTTGTTCCCTCCCTCCCTTCCTGTTCCCTTCTTCTTCCAGATGCCCACCACATGCTTAGGGTTCAAAGCCCACCCTGATGATCTGGTGTCAGCAGTGACTTCCAGACCCCAGCAAGCAGGAGCCTTGGGCGGAGCCACGGCCTCATGGCCTGCTGTGATCCCTGCCTTCCAGCCATGTGCAGCTCCCTGCCTCAGTCTCCCGTGCTCTGCCCACCAAGACCTCACTCATACGCCTCCTCTGTCTTTCCCTGTCCCCTGTATCTCTACCCAAGTGGACTCTACCACTCCTTCGTGCACGCACACTGTTATTAAAATGCTTATCCATGCCATATTGCAGTTCATCTTAGATTTTTCTCCCCAACTGGTCTAGATCCTCAATGGAAGAAACTACATCTTATTCATTGTATGGCTAGGGCAATTATTGGAATCCTGCCCATGTAACCAATTGTATTGTCGGGTTAGGGCTCATAGACCCTTCAAACACATTGTACAGACTGAGTCACAAACCCCTCATATGCCAGGCTGGGTCGCCAGACATCTCACATGCAGGTTGTTGGGAAAATACAGGAAAAAGGTCAGGGCCCCTCAGATGTTCAGAATCTTGCCAAGCACTTGACGTAAATATGCACATGCACCCAGATGTTTCTTGGTTATTGTCTAATGTAATTGAGCATGTGCCCCCAGGTGTCCTGGGTTATGGACTTAAGTATAAAGGATGAGTGGCTCTGATCCATGGCACCCCCCCACCCCTGGGATGCTGCTACTGCTGCTGGAGGCTGTTGCTGCCAGGGCCCCCGCGACCCTCTGAGAGCTGCTGCCACCACCAGACCTGTAAGCTGCTGGACCTGTAAGCTGCTGCTGCCGTTGCTGAGGACTGAGCTCGTGTCATCTGCCAACAGCTCCCAGGATCTTTCCCAATTATCTAGCATGGACGCGCGTGTGAGGGATCTGGTGCCCCAGTCTGTAAAATGGGCTTGAGAGGTCTGAGCCCTCGCCCTGACAATACAAATGGAAACTTAGTACAACTAAAATAACGAAACATTTTGGCTTTCGTTAGGATTTGCCTTACTCCACAACTGGCATAGTCATGTAGCTTTACACAGGTCCACAAGCTAGGTAATTGGGAAAGATTCTGGAAGCCATTGGCAGATGACACGAGCTCAGTCCTCAGCTTCCTCAGCAGCAGCAATGGCCTCCAGCAGCAGTAGTGGCCCCCCTGGGGGCCCAGGGTCAGGGCGCACCATGGATCAGAGCCACTTGTCCTTTATACTTAAGTCCGATAACCTGGGACACCTGGGTGCAAGTCAGACAACCCAGGAACACCTGGGTGCACAAGCACACATTAGACAATAACCAAGGGACACCTGGGTTCACAAGCATATTTACATCAAATGTTCAGCAAGACTCAGAACCCCCAAGGGTCCCTGACCATTTATCTTCACTTTCCTACATTCATTTTGCTACTTCCTTGGAAAATAATGTAGTTCTCAACACATTAGATGTCCCTAATCAATATTTGTTTAACTAATAATATTTGCTTACAGCATCATCCTTGAAGTCCTCCAAACCTGGGCCAGAAAGAGATGTGGAGGACAGAAGATGGAGAAATCGCCTCCTTTCTCCAGCTGCATCAATGACTATCATCCCAACATTCCCCTTCCCAAACCAAGCCACCATCCCAGAGCTAACTCCCCCAAAGCAGGTCACAGGCCCTCATGTGAGAGAAGCCCCCATGCCCAGAGGAAAGGGGCTTCCTTATCTCTGAAGATGGAGAGACACCGAGAAGAATCTGAACGAGCAGGCCTTGCTGAGTTTCCCCAGCTTACTACCTGGGCCCACACCCTCTCCACCCTGCATCAACCTCATATAAAAACACTCAGGCTCATCTGTTTCTTTGGGTCTTCATTTCCTTACAAAGTCTCCCTGTGGAGTAAAATATATTAAATAAACTTGTGTGCTTCTCTTGTTAATCTGTCTCTGGTTAGTCTAATTTACACAGCACCAGCTGGAGAAGCTAGGAGGGTAGGAAGGAAAGAAGAGAGGAAGGGGGAGAAAGAGACAGAAGGAGAGAGAGAGGGAAGAAAGGGGGGAGGGCAGTCTTCGTAACCTGAGCTATAGGTTTGGGGCTTCTATTCACTTGCCTGATGACCTAGGAGCCTTTGACAGGTCCCCCCTACAACAATCACAGACAACGATGCAGGGACAAGAACTCAGGTACCTGCAATTACAGGCTTCTAAAATAAACCCTGCAATTACTGAGCTGGCACAGCTGACTGTCACCAGGAGACACAAAAGTTCACAAGGGAAAGGTAGTTTTGTTATTCCCCAGCTAGAGGAGAGTGATGTTTTCTCCAAGCCTTTCCTGTCACAACAGACATTCCTGGTGTCCCTCATCCAGGCCCTGTTCAGGGGCCAGCCAGAGGTCAGGGGGGAGGGTGCAGGGTTCTTCACTCAGAGGGCAACCTTGAAGATTCTGCTGTTGGTCTTCCAAAGCCAGCCCTAAATCGCCCCCTGCCTCAGGTCTGCACTGAAAGCACTTCTGAGAATCACCCCCGAAGACCCAGCAGCACCTTGCTCTCTGGGGAGCCCAGGAGAGGACTCTGTGATGCCTGAGCCTAGCTGGCACCAACCTCCTCCCCAGGCAGGCCCGAGGAGCAACTCTAAGCCCCCATCACACCTTCTAAGCCCAGGGTCTTGGGAGAGAGGGTCCATGAGCTTTGGGAAATCCACAGGAACATTGTTCATTTTTCCAAGGAGCTTGTGGGAAGCTCAGATCAGCCCTCACAGAGGACCAGAAGGACCACTGGGCAGGGTCCCTACCTTCTCACCAGGCCCCCTCCATCTCTCCCACCTCTCTCTCTTTATCCAAAGGCCACTCAGGGAGCAGGAGAGAGAGCTCCCCATCACCCTGCTGCCAGGAAAGACTGCCTGCCAGCTGCCTGCTGGGATGGACTCAGGCGGTTGGGTCCTGGGCAGGGCCTGATGCACTCAGGCTGTTTGGAAAGGAGCTTTGCAAGATGTTTGGGATAACAGTGACACGTACAGTAGGTGGGATGAACAGTGGGCTCCCTCTCCCTCCCGTGTCCCTCCCCCTTCTCTCTCCTCTCCCCCTCCCCCTCTCTTCCCACTCTCTTGTCTCTCTGAGAGCCACCCTCTCCCAGGATCCACCACTGACTCCCACCACTTTGAGCAGCACTGGGGGCTTTACAGGTTTCCATGCTTAGACATTTTAATCTAAATGTCTATTCTAAGAGAGGCTCTAGACCTCCAGTCTCAGCTGGAATATGTAGAGAGCTGGAAAAAACCCTCTCCCGCCCTTTGACCCAGAAAAGGCTGGACAAACCTAAGTTAGGATTTACTCTTCATTCCAGAATGAGGTTTCAGGGCAAATAACTAACCTGAAATCTACAGTGAGATGGGAAACTGCAGAGAGAAACAGGATGGGCTCTGCTTGCCTGGGCAGGTGTCACCACTGCA